AGAAAGTGGGAGAGGTAGCAGCAGATGTTGAAAAGGTGTTTGATGTAATTATGCGCATAAAGATCAGTATTTTTATCCGATCAGTAAGTGATAAAAGCTGTTCTAGGAGACAAAACTGCGTTTGTATATCAGTGGTCCGAATTTGCCTGCTGTGAAGAACGTTGTGGTCGAGTTGGAGGATGATGAAAAATGCATCTTTTTTTATCTTCATCTGCTTGTACAAAGCGTTGAGTGGGGACAGGTAACATTCTTCCCTTTCGGCTCTTTCAGAATCCGGTTGGCACATGCTGCTAATTATTGCTACTGCATGTAAATTTATTTGCTTGTAGTGATGCACTATTAAACGACTGCTTGAGCTGTAACGGTATGTTCTAGTGTTTGCAATAGCAATCACATGCCTAGTAGGTTGATCTATCCCGAGTGCACCTCTTCTGGGCTGCAGCCTTTCATTTGTATTCCCCTCGTCCACATATGCGCAACCTCGCTTGATTGTTCTCCTGTTTAATTGCTTTCTGTCACTCGATGCTATTTGCTGATACGCGGCGGATTGCCCGCAGAGCTGGCACCATAACTTCTGCAGCGAATTTTATAGTGGCTTCCCGATTTCGTTCATGTCGCCTGTCACTAGATGCAGTCACAATCTTTTTATGCTTCATAAAGTTTTGGTGAAATAACATCAGTTATTTTATGCGGAGGGCTCATCAGCATAACTGCCACTTATTTTAATCGATTATTCTAGAAGAACGATAGAACAAGACGAGTTTGGGAGCCAACTTATACTCTTATTTATGGAGATGCTTTGGACAACAGTGGGATTCTTGACACATCCAACAGCGAAATCATAAAAATGAATCGTATTCCAAAAGCAGTGGCCGATGTTAGCTCACGCAAAGATTCATTTTTAATTATCATTCGTTACTAGCTGTTTTGAAGCTGATAAGTTCGTATCCCTCTTCATGGTTTGTCATCAGACCTAATCGCGCTGCATGAAAACGTTTTTTCATCCTACGAGTCGTGTCCTTGTCGGGACATATGCTACCTATTCTACAGATGAATGATTTGATTTAGCCGCCTTGTCCTCTTCTAATATATTTTTACCCTGTTCTTCCGATAGAGTCTGATTATTGGCAGCCAGCTATTTTTTTTTTATTTTTCATACGTAGTGAAACGTATAAAGTTGGCATTTTGCAGGGACTGCGGGTGATCTCATATTTACAGCAGATTGCCGCTAGCGTCCCAGAATATGAGACGACGGCGGATATTTTTGTTAGCGAGAAATTAACTCAGAAAATAATGCAAATACTGGCGGATCCATTAATTGTTTCTGCTAGAGCTCTGCCGTCCTGGTCTGAAGAGCTCGTGTACAATTATCCATGTCTATTTAGCGGCGAAACTAGGCGAGTCTCTGTTTTTAACATATTTGCTTTCACGTTCTGTATTGAATTCTATATTTCGAGTAATAGTTTATCTTTAAATAATTCCAAAAACACGAGGTATTAGTAATGCTGCCAGAACGTCGAACGCACCTGTGCTAGATTCTTCGATCCTCAGTTGCCCATAGGGCGGATTCAGGGCCCTCTGCCCGGGAGGGGGAGTTTCACCTCACTATCTTCCTTCGCCAGTACGTCCCCTCGGGCAGCTCCCAACCCACCTCTCACTCGCCGCCATTCCCCTCCCCTCTTCGGTCGTCTCACTGTATCCCCACCCTTCCCACCTAAGATCTCACTGCTTCCCCCTCCCTTCTTCGGAGGTTCCTGGGTTGGGGGGGG